TACCTTTCTAAATTACAAGAACAAACATTTGATGTATATCACGACGTCTTCCTTTTGATAGTTAAATTAACCGGTAACAGGTGCGTAATCAATCACCATTGTCCTTCACTTCAATATTCCTTCTTTCAATCGATTATAAGCAGTAGTAGCAGGTAATCATCAACACCTTCGTTCACAACCTCCTTTCCATCTTTCTTCTTTCAATCGGCTATACACAACAGTTAAGGAGTTTTATATTCCCTATGTCACTATTACTGATTACAATTGATTGCTTGATAGATTTTTTGATCAACTTGCAGTTACCACGTGATGAATTTCAATTATTGAGGAGTTCTATAAAATTTTAGAATGCATGATTTTTCTTTTTTAAGTGATGTATACACATACATGTAATTCGAAGGTACATTGATACCCATGCATTCAATAATCAATTATTTGGTTCCTATTTTTTGATTTTAAGTATTAATTGTTTGTTGATTAGGTACATTGATAACATCTTCATAATTTCAGGACTTCATTACATAGGAATTTGGATATGAAGTTCAAACATGAAAGATACATAACTACATAAGGTTAACATGGTGTCAAATGACTTACATAACTTTTATTGATCACTCATTATGGTTATCTCTTCATGTTTAAGGATACTGAGTGATCTTATAGTTTTGATCAATGGATTCCAATAAAATATAGGCTAAAGCCATATTTCAACTCACCAATGAATAAGATACAAAAGGGTTTGTGGATTCAAGAATTCATTGATCTTTCATCAATTGAGTGATACAAGTACCGATTGAACTTTGGAACAACAGAAAGGTAAATTCCAAAAGGGTAAATGACACAAAAAACACTCTTTTTACACAGAAATTCGATTTTGACACCATGTTTTTGTTTGTGTCAATTTTGACACTGTGTTTTCCAATTTGTTACAATTCTGACCACTTGACCGGTTAACCAGGTTACATGCTGACGTGTTAGTTTTTGATGACGTGGCATGCTGACATGATATGCTGACGTGTCAAAATTGTTTTTTTTTCCACAAAAAAACACTAAGTTTTCATTTTTTTTTCAATTTTGACTCCAAGTTTAATTTTTTATTTCAATTTTGACACTATGTTTTTTTTGTTCCAATCGAACATCATTAAATAAATTTTGTTGAGTTTTGTATATTTTCCATTTGAAACCGTATAAATATTTTTTTTATTATATTTTAAACCGTATAAACATATTTTTTTTCATTTAAAAACCATATTTTTATTTAAATACAAGATGTTTTTTTTTCATACATTCAAAGCCTTAGTTATATCACGAGAATCAAACTAACCATAAGCTTCTAATAAAATGTAAAAATTTGATGGGTTGCAAACTTGATATCTGATTTTTGATCGACTACACGCCTCCAATTGTCCAAACACATTTTAAAGTTGCATATTTAATATAAAATATAATTTTTATATAACTAATACATATTTATACATAAAAATATGGTTTGAGTGTAAAAAAATATATATGTATTTATACAAAACTACGGTTTTTAAATGAAAAAAAACTTATTTATACGGTTTAAATGTATTAAAATAATATTTATTTGGTTTCAAATAGAAAATAGTCAATATTGAACAAAATTGGAAAAAATGATGTTCGATTTGGAACAAAAAACATAGAGTTAAAGTTGAAAGAAAAAATTAAACTAAGTGTCAAAATCGAAAAAAATGAAAACGTAGTGTTTTTTGTGAGAAAAAAAATAAATTTTAACACGTCAGCATGCCACGTCAACATATAACCTGGTTAACCGGTCAAGTGGTCAGAATTATAATAAATTGAAAAATACAGTGTCAAAATTGACATAAAAAATAAAACGGTGTCAAAATCAAATTTCTATATAAAAAAAGTATTTTTTTGTATCATTACCCATTCGAAAATAGAATCATGTTATAGAGTCAAAGTCAAAGTAGAGACATATCTTGCCCCTTTGGTACGATTATGAAAGAGACATTCTTCAATTATTTGTTTTATTGTTATTTGTATTGTTCATATGTTTTTAAGTTGTTACAGAAGCTTGGACATCCAAAGTGATTACTGTAATATAGAAGGGAGGGACAATATGATCAATTTAGTTTTTTTTTTTCAATAGTAATGATTTTAAAATAAAAAAATATTTAAAAATGTTAACAAATAGGATTTTGGGGAGTTTGATATTTTGATAGTTTAAAATTAGTAAATATGATATTTTGAAGTTAGAACACATATTTTAAGGTTTAATAAGGTGATATATAAATTTATTGGATTATTGGTGGTTGTTTAAAAATTGTTAATTTTTTTGATACTTTAGGTATTTACACGAACTCCGAGACCTAATTTAAAATTCAAACCTTTAAAGTCCCTTTAAACTATGGCGCCCAGCACAACACCAGCCCTTATTTTCTTGTTCTTAGCTTGGCCGCCTGTAAATCCAGCTTCAGGTTCGCGAAAATGGTGGCGCCGAAGAAGGTAAACTATGAACAATGTAGACAGAAAAGATTGGAAGAAAACCAAAAAAGAATGGAAGAATTGAAACTCAATGCCCTGGCTCAATCTCTTCGAATCCTCTCAACCCCAAAGCCCCCTCCTGTATGTTCCACTTTCTGTATGATTCTAAATCAATGCATTTACGAAGTACTATAGAATCTAATTTTTTTGTTAATAATCGTAGATGAAGAAGGTGAACCGAACTCCTCGTAAGCCGCTGGATCTGTCTACCGTGAGGAGGTCAAATCGTGTCGCCGACAAGCCACCACCAAGTTACAAAGAGGTAATGCTCGATACTTTGACTAGGTTCCTTTCTCTGTTTCAAGATCCCTATCTTTTCTTGTAAATCGCTAACATGATGCTCAACTTTTGAATATCATAAAGTTACAACAATTAAGTGATTGTATGATTTCAATAAAATCACTTCCTGTAACGAGGGACTGATCGGGTTTTCTTGTCAATAAGATCCAGTCATAATTTCTGTTTGAAGTTATTGCATGTGGCTTGCTTTTTGAACATATGTTGATGCCAATATATAGCTCATTTGTTGGATTAATCTTGTTTGATATCACACTAGTTCTTTTCTTCAGAGTTTCCCCCCATTCTTATATACCAATTATTAAGTGATATTTCTTGAAATGCCATGACAGATCCTAGTTGAGCCTTTGGGAATGCGCAGGAGGTAAATTTTTTTGCTTGTGTAGTTTTCATTAATATAAATAAAACAACATTTGTAATATTGATTCATGCTGTTGACTATTTGAGCTATGTATTCATTCATCAGTTATGGCATGAAAGTAAGGGATTTATCAAATCGAATCTACGCCTCTGATGAAGATAGAGAGTATGCTTCAGAAAGAGCAGAAGAACTACACTCCAAATTGCAGGCTGATTTTCCTAGCTTCTTGAAACCAATGCTTATATCCCATGTTTCTGGTGGGTTTTGGCTGGTAAGTTCAAAAGGGATTAATTATTATACCCATTTAAAATCTATATTTAACATGTTATTATGATTTTCATTTAGGGTCTCCCTGTTTATTTCTGCAAAAGCTATCTTCCTAAACGTGATGAAATAATGACATTGGTTGATGAAAATGGAGCTGAGTGGCCAACAAAGTATCTCCCCAGGAAAACAGGACTTAGTGGAGGATGGAAAGCGTTTGCTGAAGATCATAAACTAGTTGATGGTGATGCATTAGTTTTTCAACTCATAAAACCCACAGTTTTTAAGGTTATTTTCTTCATCTCTATTCCATTCCATACAACCATACATATATAGTTCTTTAGTGCAAACTTGTTTCTTTGAACTTACTCATCTTCTTTTCTGTTTTTGAATGAAGGTTTACATTACAAGAGTGAATCAGGCTGGAGACAGTGATGATGCTTGAGATGTGATTTTACAAAGTTCAATGTCTCTGTTGAAGTATGAAATCCAAACAATGTAGCATCTGTAATGCTGAAAAAATTAGAGTCCTTCTGTCAAAGTGTAAACAAGAGATGAGAGCACAAAACAACAGTTTGCTCCATTGATCATTGCAACCTTTATCACTATGTGATGTGTTATATCATTGAGACATTGGCCAATGACTTATTACCAATCCTGGGCCTATTTCTTCTTTTCGTAACTTCTTGTGGGCCTTAACGGGCCATGATCGAAAAAACCGATAAATGATGTATGACTGGGCCTTCATTACTGGTTATGGGGCTTGGATCTGTTTAACGGAATTTAAAACAACTTAAAAAATAATAAAATGGTTTAACAAGTTGGGCTAGTCCATTTGGTTAATAAGGTGTTCTAATAAGAATGTCTAGGGTTCAATTTTTTATATATATATATATATATATATATATATATATATATATATATATATATATATATATATATATATATATATATATATACTAACACTAACTTGTTTTGTTTAATTCTTGGCATTTTCACATTCTTGGACAATGATCAATAGAAATTTTTAGGTGACATGGGATGGGATGTCTAAATCTGATTAAATCCGCATGTATTAGTTTTCCTATTCGTAAAGACAAAATAAATCATGAATAGTGAAGTTCCAAATTCTACTTTTTGTGTGATTTTTAGACTAATATTTGGTTCCTCTTTCATTTAGGTTGTTATACTTAGATATACCTTCCTTAAAATGTCATACACCAGGATTTAAAACCATGCAAACTTATTAGGAACACAAATTGTGATTTAAAAAAATACTATTACTTGCACTTTATAAATTAAGGTATGTTGATATTAGTTGCACATAATGTAACCGATTAAAGATGAATGGAAAACAAATTCACACAATTTATGAATGTGACTCGTTACTTGTGGAAGTTTGAATCTCTTCAGTTGTTCCACAACAAACGAACAACAAAATACAAAATTTGTAACAACTTTTTTTTACCAACAAGAACCATGAGTTCAAATGTTTTTGCTATAGGACAAAATATGTATATTAAGTACTAGTCGAGGGACCATTTTTGCAATGCACTCGATATATAAGAACGATAGATTTAAGATGATTGGGCAACCTATCGACCTGCGGGTGGTGGTTTCAGTATCTTCTCGCTCTCTCGTCTTCACCTGTTCGGTTTTACCTCTATTTTTTTTTTCCCAAAAAAATCAAGCGAATATTTTTTATATCTTTTTATTTATATCATAAATCGACAAAATCCTAGGTTTTACGAGTTTTTAACCAACCAGATCCTTGCGTTGTAAAAAGCTCTATTTAAAATACATTTGGTTCACGCGATTTTCTCCCTGATTTCCGTCACGCGTCTCCTTCCTTCCCTCCTCCCTCACCGAATCACTCCATCGCAGGTTGTATGAACCGTTTGCGGCTGCTGCTGCCGTCACCCTCATCAGTTTCTACTTCCATCTCCGGTGAGCATCTCTTTTTTCTATGTATCTTCATCTCCCTCGTCTCCTTTTAGAGGGAAGGGATATGGTTGAATATACTAGAGCATAGCCATGTCGAATTATTTCTGATTCATATTCGTAATCATACAGATTTGTGTGGCGACGGTAATCAAGACGAGGCATTGATCAAGACCCATGACAGAAATTAGTCACAAGTGATAGCTTCATACTGCGTCGAGTTTATTGATGAGAAAGAAAAGGACACACAGATTCGTCAAAACTGATTTAATTAATCACAGGTTTCAATTTGATGGATGCACATGTACGGATGTACCCACTTCATTTCTTTATCTTTATATGGATCTCCATGGATAGTTTGGTATAGTGGAATTCATAGTTTCATATAAGGGATTACAAATTTGGGTTCTTGGAGCGTTTCTACTTTCCATTGGTGAATTGTCAATGAAATAAGAAATCGGTTTCACCTCACCCTTGTCGATTTCTTTTTTGAAACCCAAACGGAAAAAGGAGTAATCAGGGCCGGCCCAGCCCAGCCAAGCCCAATTTCCAGGTGTGATATTTATTACATTTAGATTTTAGGGGCATACATTACAGATTTACAGATACAGCAGCAATGTTATCAACTGAGAAGGCGGTAAAATAAGATGATGATAAAGTAACGGGGGAGTAAAAGGCCGTAGAAGACCAGGATTCGTGGAAAACGATTGGATTTGGCAACCGTTCACGACGCCACATCGCGCTCACGCATTGAGCCATCGACAGCGAGTCTCACAGTCTTTCACAATCTCAATCTACGTATCTCTCTTTCCCTACTTCTCTAATTTCTTTAAGTTTTTGTTTCAACTTTCAACCCTGGCTATGAGTTGTTGCTACAACTTCAAGTTACCTCTTTTTCCTTTTCTTCTTCTGTTGCATTTTGTCATTTTGTGTGGTAGAAACTCCATTCTGTAAGATTTAGTTTCCTTGGAACTTCAAATTGCCTCTTTTTCTTCCCCCCTATCTCTAATACAGCAAAACCAATGTCAGATAACTTCAGAATAACCGTTTTCAAGACTTTCCTCAAGTGGGGTTTTTGGTTTTGTTTTGTTGATTGCTTGAGCTATGTTCAACGCCAGCATTCGATGTTTCAAGTTCTAGGTGTTTTGTGAGTAATTTTCTAATTGATGAGGATTCTAGGCTTTTTGATTGAGAGAAATGGTTTATCAGACCCTCCCTCTGATTCTCTATTGGTTTATCTTGGGATTTTCTAATCTGTTAAGGGTTTATTCTCTATTGGTTTATCGTGAGATTTTGTAATCTGTTAAGGGTTTATGTAAATGCTTTTTTTTTTTTTCTTCATGATTCTTGATTGTTAATTTGATTCCGACTTAGGTTTTAAATATATGATTGTTGCTTATCAAGTTCAGTAAGTTACTGCAATTGCTTTCCCTGAATCATTTTCCCAATCTTAATAGCGTTCTTTCTTATCATAGATGGTGGACATGAAGATCATGAATAGAGATCTCATAGTTTGTAGTAAAACTTCCTTAATTTGATGCTTTAAAGATGAGCCCATAATCAAATTTCATACTTTTAAGACCTTTGATTTGATGCATCCATGCCCTAAAGACACAATTACAGGATCCTAACATTGTTTTCCAAAGTTAGAATATGTCCCAAGTCGATCCATGTCAGTGGTTTCATGGCTTTGTTTTATCTGTACATTATTATCAGTTGGTGATTTTAGTGTCATCATTTTAGGTAATTGGTATGTCAATGTTCCTTTGTTAGAACTTAAAATCAAATTTTTTCCTGATGAAATATGGTGGGAATTCATGCATATATTTGTAGGGTCGAGTTTGATATTGAATTTGTATTAAGAAGTTTAAAAAGTATCGTGTAATCATTCGATCCACAACTTGTTATTTATCACTCCTTAGTTTTCTGACTAAGATATAAAAGTTAGATGTTTTAACTCCCTTTTAAAAAAAGCAGACTCATCCCTGATTCTAATACTATCAACAAGCATTTGAAATTACCATGTTATAATGTGTCTACTAATATATTAATTTTGTCAAGTTTCAGAGATTCTTCTACCAGTTCACCATGGACATTGATTTTGATGATTTGACTTCAACCGATGCTGCAAACAATGGTAATATATTATTTTTCTTAAGTTTCAGAGACTCTTTTACTTTCCTTGATGCTTCAATGGTGTTTATCATTGATTGTATTCTTGCAGTAAATGCAAGTACAAAGCTTAAACCCAAACCCAAACCCAAACCAAAACCCAAACCTAAAACCCAACCCGAACCAAAATCCACCCCAACCCCTCCAACACAGCCTGTTGAGGCTGCTGCTACTGCAGATAATGAGATTATAGCAAGAACTGAAGAAGAAGAACAACCTTTTGATGTCAACCAAGTTTCTGGAAATATCAATGATAACTGGCAATCTTCATTTGAAAAACCACATGAAGAGGTGTGTAGTTTTTTATTTTAACCTTTCATGTTTACAATTACGGAATTACCCCTGTTGCCTAATTTTTTCTATGGTTGCAAACAGAATGCTGAACCATTTCCAACTTTGGAATCACTGAATAATGACTTACTTCCTCAATCTACAACTGTAACAGGTCAGTTAAGAGCACAGTAAGTAGCAATACTTCTTTTAAATCTTGAGAATTTATTAAACTTGTGAACATAAATTGAAACACTCATGTCTGGATCCTAATTACAATGTAGTGAATTTGCCACCTGTCTCAGAGACACCAACAACCATTCATGTTTCCATGGATGAGAACTTAGAGAAGGGACCCATTGAAAGTGTTGATGCTTGCACAAATTTAGAAAGTGTTGCACAGATAGATCCTTTAACAGGGGAGGAAGCTTCTATTTTTAATGACAATGAAGATTTTCAGATAGAAAGTTTATCATCAGCATCAAAGGTGAAGACTGAAGATATTTTAGTTCTTTATCTCTCATGTTAATTACAAACTTTGCTACAGATTGATAACTTTTGGAGTGTTTCTGAATTTAGGATGCCGAAAATGCCCTTTTCTGGGAACCTCTTGACATATTGTCTGAGTCAAGAATCTGTTCAGGTATGTCCAAAATATCAAATTTATGTATAATAAGTAATCTTTCTTAATATTGATATTGATTTGCTAAAATAGGACCAAAAGTTTGCAAATTCAAGCCAAAACCTAATGCACAAAATCGGAAAGTAGAAAATATTGATTCCGTTACTTCTCAAATCGACTACACGGACAACGCCCCTGTTCCGACGTTTACACCAGAAGAACTTTTTGGCTCGCCATCAATCGGAATCACTGATTCCATTCCGACGGAGTCATTATCCAATTTCCATTTAAATGAAGAACACGAACCAACAACTTTCACGGAAATGTCTCAAGTGGATTCCGTGGTTCCATCTGAGCATCCGGATGCCATTCCGGAGACTTTGAACAAGGGAAAAGGACAATCTCCTGAAAAGGAAGCTTCTAGATCTTCAGAGAGGTTAAGAAAGCAGTCAAAGAAAACACTTGCACTTGTAGATGAGTTTGAGGATGAGGGAGTTGCTGATGATGTCATACATGGGAATGAAGATAACAACAATATTGATGATTACAGACCAGAAGAAAGCGAATCTGTAAGTGAAAAAAAGGGAAAAAAGTCAAAGAAAGCGGTCAATGAGAAGGAAAAACCTGTTAGAAAACGGAAAAAGGCCAACAGTGAAGCACCTGTTGAGTCAACTAAAGTCAAAAAGAAATTCCCTCACAGCACACGAAGAAGAAATAAAAGACAAGGTAACTTAAGTTAAGTTGTAAGTTATGCTACAAGTGTACATCTTTGACCAAGTTTGACCATTTTGTTCTCTCACAGTGGACCCACAATTGCTTTTAATTCCTGAGGAAGACCTTAATAAGAATGAAATCCCCATGAAAGAATTAATCAGGCTTGCAGAACATAGGGAGCGAATAGCTGTATGTTTTGATTATTTTATCGAATGTTTAATTATCTCTCTCATTGCTCTTTATTTATTTAATTTATTTATTTTACATAGAAAAAGGAAGCAGCATCTACATCAGGAACAGGAACAGCTGCATTGAACCAAAGGTATTGAATGCAATTTGCAATCACAATTATTTCTTTTTAAATTTCATGTTTTGGTATTTAAAAGAAGGGTATTACTAATACTAATACTATTACATGTGTTTTCAGTGGTGGGAGTTTCTCCAACAATTTTGATTATGAAGATGAGGGTTTTGGGGAAGAGAGAGAAGATGATTATTTAATGGAAGCAGAAAATGCGACTTATTATAATTATCGGACTCACATGAAAATAACACCAAGAATGAAATGGTCAAAACAAGATACTGAGCTCTTCTACGAGGTAATGTCTGTCTATTCATTATTATTATAAATGAAATAATTAATTAGAGTTTTTTAAAAGTGCAGGCTGTTCAACAATTTGGGACAGATTTATCGATGATAAAAGAGTGTTTTCCTGGGAGGACGCGTCAGCAGATAAAATCAAAGTACAAAAAAGAAGAGAAACAACAACCTTTAAGGCTTAATCATGCCCTAACTACTCGTTTTAAAGGTAGCAACAATTCATGTATTA